ATATATAAAAATTAAATTTAAAATTATTCATATAACATTGATTTTTATTTGAAGAAGCAGAAAAAATAGTATTGCATGTTAAATCAGTAATTATAAAACACACCTATGGTGTTGAATACCATATATATTGTTTTGATTTACAGATTTGTATAACAAAAACAAAAAAAAACAAATTTTTATAAAAACAAAAAGCAAATTTTGATTACTTTAGAGTTAGATTAAGGCCTGAGATTTTATTTGGATATTAGTATATGCAAAATTTAGCAAGAAAATTTTTTTATTAGAACCCCAAAGGTGATTTTTTAAGTAAAATTTTGAGATATTTACATTTTTTTAAAAAAAATAAACAAAAAAGCAAAATTTTACATTACACCTGATCTTAAATTTTGATTGGCTATTCTAATAAGTTTGTGTGATATAGTGTTCAACACCATAGGTATGTTTTAGTAAATTTGTAAATAATTAATATAAAATATTATTTTTTTATTTACGTCATATATTGATACTATTCCAGTATTTTCAAATAAATCTTTTAATAATTCAATATTACAGCCTGGCCTGATTTTTTGTACTCGATGATTTTTTTATCTGGATGCCATTTATCACAACTAATAAAAGGTTTCATAATTTCTATTTTATTTTTTAAAGAAGTTTTTTGAATAATATATTCTTCATTAGAAGTATTTTTATCTTGATTTTCACTTCTTAAAATATTATAGTATTGAATAATTGGTTTTCTTTTGCATATATAATTATTATAAGAACAAGTGGCTTTAATTGTTGCAATATATTCTCTATAAATAAAATAAATAAATTAATAAATAAAATATTATAATTAAATTTATAAAAATAATAAAAATTTGAAAATTATTACCCAATTGTATTAATTTTAATTTGATTTTCTTCATTCAAATTATTATCATCATGAAGAATTAAATCAGTATCAGGATTAACATTATAATGTAGAGTTGTTACTATATTCATATTAGCTATTTCACAAACTTTATCCCTCTACAAGTTTTTATAGTTTCATGACAATCTACTTCTAAAAAAGAACAAAATACTTTGCTATGCAATCCTTTAGGATCACCTAATAAATATTGAATCTAATATTAAAATATAACATTTTAGTTAAAATTATCGAAAATTTTAAATCACATCTGTGGTGTTCAACACCAGTTATATAAAAATCCATGTAACATATAGATTAAAATAATTTTTATCAAAACAAAAATTAAATTTTGTTTAATATTAGAGTTAGGGTTGAGGCCTAAAATGGGACATAGGCATAGCTTATACCAAAATTTTGCAAGAAATTTTTTTTATTAGAGCCCCAAAGGTAGTTTCATAGATAAATTTTTGAGTTATGCCTATTTTTTAAAAATAAACAATAATTTTTATATTATACCTGATCTTCACGTTACACTGCAGCTCATAGCAAAAATTATAGTAGTGTTAAATACCAGTAGTGTGATTTAACAATGCCAAAAATTATTATTTATTTTAAATAAAAAAAATAAAATTAATAAATAAAATAAAATACTAACATCTTTCAATAAAGAAGATAGATTATCCCATTTTTCAATA